GAATCTACACAAGACGGGGGCAGGACAAGTTCCTACCAGTTATCACCAGGACAGTGGAGAACCCACCTCTTCTCCACTTGGTGACCTCATTTTCCTCTCATCACCATGCAAGTTCCCGAGGAAACCTCCTACCCCAGCTGCACCTGGTGCCGTAACACTTCCAGCTCCATCTCTAGTCACAAGAAGGTCACCCTACTTCCCAGAAAATACCACCCTTTGCCCTTCTTAAATAGAGAAACAAAAGGTGGAGTATATTTTCAGTGCTTCTTGAATAAAACCCAGTTTCATTTCACCTCTGGGTTAGACCCTGAATTCTTTCTTGAGCTTCAAGTTATTCCCACCAGTGGGGATTACTTCCCCGTGTCACTAGGAATTCAGGAAAAAATGTTTAAGAAACCAAATAACACTGAAAAAATTTTAAATATTTTATGTTCGTTAAATTAAAATGCAACATATGAAATAAGGGAAATGTTACAGCCTTATCTTAGTTGTGAACTTCAAGAGCTATTGATTGGCTAACTGCACTAGCACCTCCGTAAGATGATGGTCCGGGGACTGTAACAAGCTGGTCAACATACAGAGGTGGTCAACACAAGCAACTAGGCCTCATGTGCTGACAGTACAGGTGGTCATGTCCAGTCTATGAAAATTAGGTCAGCTTAAGAAGGAGGTGGTTAACTATGAAGGTTCTAACGTATCTCAGTCCATATTTACCTTTGAGATCCAAATAATTAACATTACCTTATATATAGATCTGCCCTCATCATCAAATCACATTCATTAGGACATCCAATTTCACTGGAGTATCTTATAATTTCTCATTTAAAATCTATCTTGCGTTAAAATTTTGCCTTACTTGTGTGTGTGTTTACCCAATTCCCCAAAGAGAAAATGTAGCTAATTAACAAAAGCATTTACAACAAATACATAGAAAATTTCTAAGATTATATAATATTTTAGGGGAAAAGAAAATCGAGTTTATGGAGTATTTTTTTTTTCCTGCAGTTTTTGGCCAGGGTTGGGTTTGAACCTGCCAACTCTGGTATATGGGGCCAGTGTCCTACTTCTTTGAGCCACAGGCACCGCCCTCATTTAGGTTTGTTTTTTTTTTGTAAGATTGTTGCTTATGTTTCCAGACTTATGGGCCATCTGTTTGTGTCAAGATTACCTGACCACAGACTTCAATCTTGTTATTTTCTTGATTTGGTCCTTTGCCTCCACCGTTGTACACAAAGTGTATACATGAAATAGTCTTTTTCTCCAAGTAATATTTATTTATGAATCTTAGCTTCTTTTTTGCTCCTATTAATTTATCTGGCCTGTACTATATTCTTTGTTTAATTGCTCTTGGATTCAAATACACCTGAAAATTTAAGTATTTGCATCTATGGACTGCCCCCACTCATGCACAATTTTGGGGTTGTCCTCTTCTGATTAACTTGGTTATCAAATTTATTTCTTTTCTCTGTTACATTAGTATTTTCTTGAATGGAGTTTGTACCCTGGGTTAAAGTTCCCTAGTCTTCCCAACTGTGAGACGATTGAGGTCACCCTATTTCTCATCATTAACTTGGGGGTTGTAATTACACCATTATCCAGGTTGAAGTGTTAGCATTAAGTAAAACAGTTAATGTAAAAACTCACAAAATGCTTCACACACACAGTACATCTTCAGTAAAAATGGGAAAGTCTGTCTATGAAGATGGCCTTTGTTGTTCTACTTTGAATCCAGATAAGATATATTTAGTATTAAAACACTGAATTTAATTATAATGTTAACACTTTTGATGAAGGTATAGATGTTCAAGGTGCCTTATCAAGGCTGCTCTGAGCATCGTTCCTTCATGGAAGATTAACAATACAGCCACAGAGAAGCCAAGATCTCCCGGACACTAGTTACCTTCATCGTTTGAAGGTACAGCAGCCATGTCCCTAAATGAGAAAGGCAAACAGCGCAGTGCCAAGTCAGTATCGACGCCGGAACCTTCAGTTGTGCAAAGCAGTAAGTATGGAAAAAACCCAGTTTTAAGTAACATCATGGTTCCATGTAAGTGTGGGAAGGTTATTAACAGGCCACGAAACCAACACATGGAGAAACGTAAGCTCTCCTTTAAGACTGACACTCCAGCCAAACCACCATCACTGCCATCTCTGACTAACCCTCCCCACAACAAAAGCAACTTTGATTGCTATCACCCGGGCTTCATTTTATAGCTGTTCATTCCTTCAAAGATAGTTAATAACACTGTCAAACAACTAAGACAAAAATGGCTGTTATTTAAGGCGGAAAATAAAAAAAAAATTGCGTTATGAATTCTCAATCACGTAATAAGTTAGACTTGGGAGATTTCACAAGTGAACATTGTTCCAGGTTTTCTTTAATATATTTGGTTTAGGGCAGTGCCTGTGGCTCAAACAAGTAGGGCACCGGCCCCATATACTAGAGGGTGGTAGGTTCAAAACTGGCCCTGGCCCCAAACTGAAACAAATAAACAACAATAACAAAACAAATATATATAAAACCAAAACTCTAAACCAAATATATAAATATATTTGGAGTCTCTCTGTCTCTATATATGCTGATAGTTAGATCATGTTTCCAGCTTTTGATTCAGAAAATACTGGCATTGAAAATACTGTACATGAAATAGTCTTTTTGCTGTTGATTTACTTAAGTCACAAGCTACATGTGCTTTGAGGAGTAGAATCAAGTCACTTTTTTGGAAAAGAAGACTCTCCTTGGACCCCGAGGAAGATTTAGGCAGAGCAATGTGTGTGCGGGGTGGGGAGGGGACTGGGGGATTTTAATATTTTTGTGGGTGGGATTTCTGCAGAACAGAGTGATAGGGATAAAAATCAGGGAGGCATGAGGCAATTTAGAGCAACACTGAATTCAAAATTTGAATGTGAAATAAAACAGAAAATTTGTTTAAACACTGCAGTAGAAGGCTACACATTCCAGTTAAAGAAATTAAGTTATTTGTAGTCCACAGCCAATAACTAGAGATAGATAAGCTGGGCAGTAAGGTAGAAATCCAGACTGTGAAGGGGAAGGGAACTGGAAAATCATCTTCTCCAAATCCTACATTTTACTAAGATATGAGGCCTACAGATGATGTAAAGCAACTAGGATAAAGGTTTAAGGTTAAAGGTTTAAGTCTCAAGTGAGCTGTGCTATTCTTAAACTCTAGGTATCTTAGCTGATACTGTGTTTAAATATTTTTAAGTAGAGAAACCACAAATGGGGGGGGGGAGAGCTTACCCTTTTGTCTTAAATAGAAACATACATTTTAACTTTCCATCTCATTGTAAAGCTTTTTGCCAAACTGAAAGACTGATTCCCTGCCATTCCTCTAAATTTGCTTCATCCATTTGGAACACATTATAATAGAAAGCTGCAGCTTCCAGACTTCTGGTGCCAAAACATCAGGGGGAAAAAAAAAAAATCAAAGATGAGCTTCGACTTCTTTACAAAATCATACCACTGTTCCTTCATCTTCATTGCAAATATTTAAACAACAAAAAAATGTCATCGCTAAAGATTGTGAGAAATTTACTCTGAAGACAAATAGGACTCTGGGTATGTCAAAACTGTGGGCAGACTCACCTGTACCAGGTGTGACTAGAAGACCCATCTCCACAGAGGTTACCCTACCCCATTAAATGGGATGCCTTTGTTTCAAAATCACACTTTTTTTTGGATGTGTTTTCTTTGTAGCCTTCTGTTTTTAAACGGATGACAGTCAACTACAATTGCCTTTCAGATATGTCTTAATTTTAAAGAACGAAGGAATAAACAGAGGGGGAGATTAAAGCGAGGGAGGCACGGTAGAGGCGAAGAATAGAAAGTTAATCCTTGACTCCGTTTTTTAGGACACGGTCGTTTAAAATAATTAATTTTTAAAGCCTTGAAATGACTTGCCTTGTGGTAATCATGTGTCTGCGCAACGCACGATTTCCAAAAAAGAAAATTATCAATGAAATAAATGAATTAAATTACCGCCTCTTAAACTTCCTCACACGTCTCCATCTCCACAGCCCAATTCTAAGGCCTCCGAAATCCGAGCTGGCGCCCTGTACTGAGGGATTC